TTTCTTATAAAAGATATGTTTTGTGAATTATTAGCTACAAATGAGTTGATTCTGATAGGCTAAAATGCATTTTTTAGTGACACAGAAAACTCTGATAGTAAATTTATATAGATTTTGGACTTCAACATACCTTGATTTGGTCCCTTGTCATTTACTATCTTTGTGAATCTGGGCAAATCAGTTAACCTCTCTGAAACTCAAATTCACCATCTGTAAAATAGGAGTACTAACATTAACTCACAGGAAAGTTACATTAAATGGAAACTTTATACAAACAACCTAAATCATGGGCCTTACTCACAATAAGTAAAATGTATTATTTCCTTCCTTCCCACCCTTTTTTATTAAAAACTTTTTTCTTAAAAATTAAATCTAAGTAAAATGCATGATATCTTCATTTTGGTCAAACAAAATTAAAATTGACACATTTGAAATTTAATATGCACAACGTAATCCAAACTGAGATGTTTTGCAAAGCTTTTAAGAAATATCTAGTATAATTTGGTGTTTTGGACATCTGTGTCCTTTCCTTTCTCTTCTAGGAATTGTGCTTTTCTTCTTTGGGGAAACTGCCCTTCTCCTACTCTGTAGGGGATCAATGATCATAATTTCTACAACTTTCTCACTTCCCCATGGCCTATTCACATGGGTAGGCATGTTTCCAAAATGGGCTAATTGGTTTTTTTCCAGGATTTGTCAAAGGTACTGCAGTTAGAAGCTGTGCTTCCCCTGGGAAGGAAGCAGAGAATCTTTGACCCTGTCATGTTTGACCAGCATGGCTTCCTTTTGGAGAAAGTCGACTGGCAATCATAAAGTAGACCACATGGAAAGAAGGCCCAGTTACTCTTACTTGCCCCAAATTCAGTTATGGGGATCAACACAATCTCCAGTTTTGGCTAAACTAGCATGAGTTTGATCGTAACCAAAGTCAAATATAAGCAGTGAATCGCCTAGAATTAGCTGTATCCTGCTCCCTCCTCCCTGATCCACCTCTAAACATTAGCATCTGACCCCCAGGTAAATCATGGTGCCTACCAGGTGGAGCATTTAGGTCTGATCACTGTATAATTTACTGGTTTCTGTTTCAGTCATAGACTGTATCCTTAATCTTGTCAGTGTTTGGCAAATGCTAGGGTTTTGTATGGAGGGAGACCAATGGAAGAGTGTGGCGGGATCAGTTCATCCCTTTAGCATTTTCAGGGGTAAAAGAACCCAAACAGACCCCTCTAGAGTACATGCTCTGTTCTCACAGAACCACTTCGAGTAGTCAGTGGGAAGTCTGCCAAATCCCTTTGCCCTACGTTAAGCTGTGTGTATAAAAGCCACCCCATAAATCTGAGATCTGGTCTGTCGTGGGGTGGGGGAAGCTTCTGACCCAAATTCTCTGCCCTGAATTCCTTGAATCTAAGTAGAATGAGATACCAAAGTGAATAGCTTCTAAAATAAATCAACACAGCTTAAACCCAGGGGAGTTCTATTTCTCTTTTTTTTTTTCCGGTATGCGGGCCTCTCACTGTTGTGGCCTCTCCTGTTGCGGAGCACAGGCTCCGGATGCACAGGCTCAGCGGCCATGGCTCATGGGCCCAGCCGCTCCGCGGCATGTGGGATCTTCCCGGACCAGGACACGAACCCGTGTCCCCTACATCGGCAGGCAGACTCTCAACCACTGCGCCACCAGGGAAGCCCCTCTATTTCTCTTTTTGGTCAACTTTTCCATCATTCCCTCCTTTTCATCTTTTCTCCCATACTTCCTCTTTTCTTCCAAATGACATTTTAAAAATGGTTCTTAAAATGTACTGTTTTCACATTATAGAAATATTTAAAATTCAGGAAAAAAGGGAAATAAGAATCACCTGTAATATCACCAGAGATATTCCCTATTAATTTTTCACATATATTCTTCCAACTCTTTTCCTATGCAACAGTATTTTAACATGATTGAAATCATTATGCATACTCAGCACTATGTCCTTTTCATATTTTCTTTGAACAAATCTAAACATTTTCTGCTGTTTAGTTTTTTTCTTTGATATCATGGATAAAGCTGCTGTGACCATCTTGCCATTACATCTTTGACAACATACTGTAGGGAACATAAGAGCTTGGATAGCATGTGTGTTGAAGGATTAACACCAAGGTAATCGATAATCCAGGTACTTGACCCCATTTTTGCCTTCTGGATGTAGAGTAAACTTTCAGGATGCATTATAATTTGAGATGATCAAGTCAGAAATGACAGCAAGTGTACTTACAGAAGTGGAATCAGATGTTAATATGCCTGATAGACCTGAAAAAATGGTTAGTTTTGGCTAGAAAGGAAATCCAGAAGTATAAAAATTAGTCACAATGGCTGAACTTCGTCTTTCTTCACTGCCTAGGATGAGAGCTCAACCTTGTTTCCAGCAAAAGCCAATGCTCATTCTTCTGCCAGACTTCACTTGCACAACCTAGAGGATCTACTTGGTCAAATAAAACAGAAGCAAGTTTGGCTATAAGGATGAAAACGCTAGTGGAGTTTCTCACTGTTTTAGAGGAAATGCAAAAAAAAAAAAAAAAAAAAGTTGAAATTAAGACAACACTGTTAAAGAAGAGATCAGAATGCAATAAACATGTGCCACTTGGACACCAGTCACATGTGGCGCCTCTCTTCACCTGATCAACCAAAAGTCAAGTCCCTCAGTCCAGGCACAGCACAAAAACAGTTTTGGCTCCCGCCTAAGTCACTTGATTATGCCTGTAATTCCCTATAGCACTTGGCCACCTTTTTTTCTTAACTTTTGAAAACGAATCAGATCAGAAAACTGTGGTATCTTTGCAAGAATGGGGTGGTGAAAACAAGAAAATATTGGTCAAATAGTTTCTATCATTCTTTTTTTTTAAATAAATTTATTTATTTTATTTTTGGCTGTGTTGGGTCTTTGTTGCTGTGCACGGGCTTTCTCCAGTTGCAGCGAGCGTGGGCTATTCTCTGTTGCGGTGCACGGGCTTCTCACTGTGGTGGCTTCTCTTGTTGCAGAGCATGGGCTCTAGGCATACAGGCTTCAGTAGTTGTGGCGCACGGGCTTAGTTGCTCTGTGGCATGTGGGATCTTCCCAGACCAGGGCTCGAACCTGTGTCCCCTGCATTGGCAGGAGGATTCTTAACTGCTGCACCACCAGGGAAGCCCTATCATTCAGTTTTAAAAGATTCAATTTGAAGCTAGCAGGAAGTGTAAGGTTACAGAGATAAAAGCTCCATTTGGCCTTAACATTTTTCAAGACATAAATGCTGTGAGGATTTACATGGGGGGTGGTGGGGTGGGAGGGATGGTGGTGGGGAGGCTGGAACAGAGCCGACTAGGAATAAAAGCAATAGTATGAAAAATATTTGTTTTTATTTTTAAGACTGGAACCTGATAAAACTTCCTGATTTTCCATCTTTGGCAGGGTGGAGTCTTATTTCCAAACTAACAGTTATCGTCTACTTGGAGAACTACATCTGGGACAACAGGAATGATAAAGGCTTTTGAGGAAACTCTAACAACAGCACAGACCCAATCTCAATGAAACTTTGGTCTTTGTTCTTTGGATTATAATGTGGTTTAATTGGACTCAGACATTTACATGGGAGTTTTGAGATTATTTTATCCAATGGGTCTTAACTGGGGAATAGATTAAGACAGCACTGGATGTATTCTCCCTCTCTTACTAAGAACTACTAACAAAACCTAATTCTCTTTATTTCAGGTGGGGAAAGCAGAGGCCCAAGAGAAGATATCAAATGCCCAAGGTCACTTTGTCATTAGTGGCAGAATCAGATTAGAATAAGAAAAGACTCTTCTCCCAGGATAGCGTCCTTTCCACCTTGCACTTAGAATTTACACAGACAGTGCAGCATGGAGCAGACACCTTACCAGTGATGTTGCCAAGAACATTTCTATCTTCATCCCTGAGTGACATCAGCTCCCAACCCTTGGTGTCTCAGCTTATTAACTCTTTTCTTGACCCAGAGTCAGGCATGGTTAGACTTAACGTGTGAGATCATTACAGATAGGTTTTAACTGCTGGGATAACACCAAGTGATTGGGAGTGTTTATAAGAGACCATAACGTCCCATACAACTCAACAACTGTGCCACGTATACTTAGTGATGGCTGCACGTGTGAGGGCAGGGGAGGTATTGGTATTCTGACTTTGGTCTAGCCCTTGGTCTCAGAAAGTCTTATATTTCTAGAGATAAAAGATCCAGGCACTGGAGAAACTTTTTTTTCCAGAAAACTTCACTCAAATTATTTCATAAGGATGGGAGCCGGATGTTTTATAGAGCTGGCAGTGGGGAGTCTAGTGCCTTTTTATAATCTGTACTAGTCACTCTTCAGTTCTGGTTCTTCAGCTGCTCTGACAGGATGGAAATTAAATAATTCAGAGATAGCTTTTCTCTTCAGCACTGGATGCTCCAACTATTAATACTACTTAGGAATGTCTTAAGTTTACTTTAAGGAAATATACACATAAGTATACTTTGAATTATCCACAATAAAGGTGGTAGTGATAAAGGAGAAAAAGATAAAGTTTTATCCATGAATAGCTTGAAACTGTATTTTCAATATTTATAATACTTTTAGGAAGGATTTGTGGAAATTAGTCCATTAAAATCTCAAGTACATAAAGATGATAATACACAAGGATGTTCATAATTGCACTACTTGTAACAGCCCCAAACTGGAAACTCCTCAAGTGGATCAACAATGGAAGGGATGAATTGTAGTATAGTCACACACAACAGAACAGTGTTCAGCAATGAGAACAAAGAATCCACAATCACATGCAACAATACAGATGAATCTCACAAACGGAAAGCTGAGTGAAAGAAGCCAGACGCGAAAGAATACATGCTGAACGATTCTCTTTACATAAAAGACAAAAACAGGCAAAACTAATGGATGATATTAGAAGTCAGGACAGTAGTTGTCCTTGGAAGAGTGAAGTGATAGTTGGGAGAAGGGGCTTCTATGGCGCTAGTAATGTTCTGTTTCTCAGAAGTCCTGGTTACAGGGACATGTTCAGTGGGAGAAAGTTCATTGAGCTGTACACTTATGTTTTTAAATTTTGGTATATATGTTATATTTTAATACCATTTTAAAAAAACATGTAAATGGACATTTTTCAAGAGGCAGGAAAACCAACACTCATATTTTGGATGTTCCTTCATTTTCATGCTTTGTTAGGAAAAATAAGGATTTTGGACTCCTTTTGTAAAATATTAATCAAGTAATGAAATGAACTAAACTTGCAAACAGGACAGGAAAACAGAACATAAAAGCCTTGAGAGCTGAGTTGCTATCAGGGACTAGACCTCCCCCTCCCAGAACTCTAGGTGAGTTAGAATTTTAGAAGCAAGTCCATTGGATGTGTAGAAGCCTCTCATTTCTATCCAGAAATGCGCTTTCCAAAGCTAGATGGCTGGCACAATAAGCTTAGTGAGTAATGGGTTCACAGTTTCAATTTATTATCAAAATATTTCCATCAGATGACAAACCTGAAAAGATAAGGAGATGCAGAGCTACATAGATGCAGTTTTGCCCTTTTATCATGGCCACCTTCAGGGACAGATTAATTTTGAAAATCCTGCTTGTAAACCACAACTCTTATGTATCTTTAGACCACTGTCCAATGGCAATTTTTAACCCAAAGTTTGTGCTTAAAGCTTTTCATCAATATGATTTATAAGTTTAAAAAGTCTCAAATCTTCATCTGTACATCACTTTACAGATCTTGGTTCATAACTATTTATCTTGGTCTGAAGCTTCAATATTCAATGATTACCTATAATAACAATTCCTTAGTCATAAGTGTAGTTAATAATTAAATATAAAAATTATTATTTACACATTACTACAAATCTCTTAAAAAGACCAAGTTTTGAGAGAGAGAGAACAAGAAATTGCTTAGAAAATTGCAGGGAGCCTCAAGAATCTCATTATCAGTCAAAGCAGGTACAACAAAAAACAGTTTTAGACACTCATTTTTGCCCTAAGAGTGCTTAAAATACAATGCTCTCAGAATGAGTAACTGATGATTGGCAAAATTAGATTAAAACTACTTTAAGGCCCAAGGCCCCAATATGTATAAGAATTCTTTGGAAGAGTTTTGAAGGAGCATAAATTTTGCAAATAAAATTAAAAATAAGTACATTGGCAACATGTTTTTAACTCTCACGTCACTGCTGTGCTTTTGGTGCCAACGGAATTCTTCCACCTCTTCTTTCTCCCTTTGATTAGAAATGCCGGTCTACATCAAGAGAAAACATCAAACTGGCAGATCATATGAGAAACAGCAATGAATGGCAATATTCTCTTTAGAGATTAAGCATTATTTATACAGTGAGAAGTGATTGATTTGATAGACATTAGACCTCTCCTCCCTCCACATTTTTCCAGAGTAACCTAGCTTCATTTTTATTGCTCTCATCCCTGTGAACTACCTCCACGTAATCAGTGACCTCTCTGGTCCTTTTTCTCTCAGATAGAGTTCCCCATTTCTGTGATGTGGGCAAGTCTAGGCAAGGACTGCACCGCTTCTTCTGAAGATTACCAAACCCTGCATTTCTTTTCTGGATTCATGTACGAGTTCTTGTGGCAATGAAAGGCTTCTGAAAACTCAGGAGAGTTCTGCAAAGTCCCAATAATCCTGTGAAACAAACAAAAGTCACCATCAGCATTTGATACTCACGTCCATACCATGCAGGAGCTCTACAGAATTTTTTTTATGTAGGCCAGCTGTGTAGGTTTGGAACTTTCAGTTTAAAAGGAAATTTAAAAAGAAAACAAACAAAAAAACAACTGGTAGAATGAGCCCTTTCCTTTTCATTAACAGAATGTTTAAATGGAGAGGTAGCAAACTACAGGAGTTAAAAGCAGATTTTGAAGACAGATGGCATGGTTTGAATCCTCGTTATGAGTCGTATTTATTTAGCTTCTCTGTGCCTCAGTTTCCTTTTCAGTAAAATGCATATAATAATATTACCTGCATCTTAGGCTTGGGATGGGGAGTCAATTTATAAACACTCTGTATGTGTTTGTAAGAAAAGTGAATAATTCATATTTGGAATTGCAGTTATTTTAAGAAGAATTTGGTTAAAGAATAAAATTATGATTTCTTACTGTATCTTGAAAGGCCTCACACAATAACTTTCAATATAATAGACTTTAAATAGATATTTGATTTAATAGGGAAGATAACAATTATTTTCTTTTTTCCCAAAAGAACCCCATAGATATCAGAAACTGGATTCAGCCTGAAAGGGTTGGCAACATGTCAATTTCCTCTTAACTCTAACCCCAATAGGCAAAAACAACACTGTCCAGCCCATTACTGGCACCAAGCAGCATTTGAGGGACAGACAGGTCAGTACAGTGATGCAGAGGTGATGTTTTCCCATCAACCCTGAACCAGCTCCTTCCCTTCTCTTCCCACTGGGACCATCCCATCTCAGCCACCTTGGGCTTACTGAGCTCTCCCTACATGGTAGATGTGTGGACATGTATACATCCTAGCGTTTCTCTCCCCTCTGACCCCTTCTCCACACAGCAGTCAGAGTGAGCTTTAAAATTTGAATCAAGTTCAGTCATTCTCTTACTTAAAACCCTCCAGGGGCTTGAAGGATATTCAAACTCCTCTCCACGTCTCCAGCGTCCTTATGGCTCCAGCCTACCTCCCAGGCCTCCTCATGGTCTGTCTCTCCTCCGGTTCCTCATGAAGCTCACTACACAGATTCACTTTTCATTACGCAAACTCGCCAAGCTCTTGCCCTCTTCTGGACCTGCTGTTCCTGCCAACCACACTGCCTGCAAAGTTACTCCCTAGTGCCTACACGGCTAACTCCTTCTCAGCCTTCATGCCGCTGCTTCAACACACCTCCTCAGAGGTCTTCTTGGAATACAGTCCACGTGAGTCTCTCCCACCTGTGCTAGCCTGTCACAGCACTTATCACGATGTGCAATGATTTTTCTCTCCTTCTTTACTTCCCGACATACTCTCTACACTATAATCTCTATGAGGACAAAATACTGTGTATACCTTGTTCCCGGCTGCACCGCCAAAGACCAGCACAGTGCTTTGCTTATTGCAGGACTCCGGAAATAATGAATGAGCCCGTCACCTGGCCATGGTGATTATATGCAGAGAGTAACAGGGCATTACGAAGAAAAATACTGCTCAGTGTTTTTGGTTTATTTGCTACTGTGGACCAACCAGAGAGAGGAAGAAAGCATTTCCTTTCCCTATCTCCATTCCATGTCGAATTTCTAAAAGTTCTCCTTCCTACTGTGTCACCCATCACCACATCAGCTATTTCTCAAACCCCACTATCCTTCAGGGAGGAAAACCTTTTTGGTTGTATGTTTTTGAGGACTCCTAGAGGAGTCTTAAAGATGGAAAGGAATCTCTCTGGTATGAAGGGTTGGGGGTTGAAGTTGGGGAGGGTAGAGCAGAAGAATTTACATCTATTCGTCCACTGGCTGGAGAGGGAGAAGACTGGCCTCCCCAAGACTGAAGAGGGGCCCAGTAAAGGCAGGTTATATGAATGACAAGGACGTGCCTGTCACTGTGAGCAGGGCCCCGAGAGGACTTCTGATAGGATGGTACGTGGCTGTCGAGGAGGCTGAACGTCCAGAGGGGCAGTTCTTGCCTCCCTTGACCGTGACCAATGGAAGGAAATGGAGCCACCCGACTTCAGATAGGGCGATCAGACTGCAAGGATGTCAGCACCCATCGCAGGCTGGGAAAGGAGGTTATTCCCTAATTTCTAGGCTCATGAGATGCCTTTGGATTCCAGTATAACCCTAGAAAGGAGTACACTGAAAATGACTGAAATTAAATTTCTCACCTCTTGGCTTCGGGTGGGAGCCTAGAGTTTGAATTAATTTGATTAATAATAATAATAATATGTCATTTCTTACACCTGAAAGTTCGAACAAGTTCACTTGATACACGGTCAAAGTGATCATATATGTAAGAATATAAAGATTTTAGACGTCGGGGATTTATATTAGTACCTTTAAGGTTCTAGGCTCACAGACTCGGAGTTACAGAGGTGCTTTGATTCATTTAATCTGATCCTCTTCCTACATTAGGAAGCCCTATACACTGGCTGAGGGACAGTATTCTGGTGGTCTGACTGTTCCTCTAGCTGGGGAGCAAGCTCCCTGATGGACAGGGTAAGCATTTGAGGGTCGTTGGCTGAAAGAGCTGCTTTTTCTTTTGTTTTTTACTTTATTAACATTTTTTCAAGGGATTGTTGTCTTAGATATCACCGCATGGAGATAAGTACTTCAGTAAAAATGTCCAAACCCAAGACTTAATTCTACATTTCTCTTAAAAATATTAAAGAAATAAAAAAAACCCACAAACCTTAAAACAAGAAAGTCTTCACAAGACTCCATTGGGATTTAGCCATGCAGCAACACCCAAACTAATGCACACTCAGCCCTCTGTCTCCATTCCAGCTCCTCTCTTTCCATCCAAAAACTTCCATTTAGATAATATGATTCTGAATAATTAGGTCAACAATGTACCAAGGCTTCACTTATTTTCCTAGGACTCTAATTAGTGTTTGGTTGTTTATAACATCAAATCTTTGGATGGATGACATAATCTATTTCAAAATGTGGATACATTATTAAAGTGAATCCCTTCACTAAGAGTGGGATCATAATTCATTTTTAAATGAATTTCATGCTATATGAAAACTACGTAGTTTTTGTGTTGTGTTTATAATAACAGAATATAATAAAAGTTTTTATTGATTATTTCCTAGAGTAAGTTACTTGAAATTTTTACTTTAATATATAAAATATATACTGCTGCTGTTTTATCATACTACTGCTATTTATTCCCATGGCAAATAATCACTTGTATTGAAAATACCTAAGATATGTGGAGCTGAACATCATGTAACCAACAATGAACTTTATATCTGACTACTCCTGCTTGAATTTAACTGTTTTTTTTCTTTTTCATTACTGAATGAGCATTTTACAATTAATGAGTTCTCTGACAATCTTTTGCTACGTCTCTTAAATAAACAACTAGGCTACAAGGTTAACCAGCTTCATTCATGAGTAAACTGTCCAATTTTTATCATTAACTGATGTTCAGGATTCTTTTAAAGTAAGGTCACATTGGTCTACACATGTTCCTCTATAAATTCATGAAGAAATAAATGCCTGAATAGATTCCCAGGTATGGGCTAAAGATTAATAAGTGCTAATAGAAATTCTTCAAGGCCCACCAAAATCCACACCATTTATAAAATGTCAGAAACCAATGCTAATATTTAAGGTAAATGGAGGAAACATCAGTATTTCAAAGAGGGTTTAGCTTAGGCATACTAAATCATAGAATAATAAGGAACAAAATAGCCATATTACTTTAAAATGTCTAAATAAAAGACTAGAAAGAATATTTTTTAAAAGTATTAGATATTAAGCTGTGGAAAACATTTCTAGCATTATTAGTGGCATAGGTTCTATAAAGTGTCCTTTATTCTGACTGGAAGATGATCTCAAGCAATATAGGTATCTAAATTAGCACCATACTATTTAGGTAGCAGACATTGATATCACTTTGTCTATTTGGACTTACTTTAAAAAATTATCAGTGACTTCCCTGGTGGTGCAGTGGATAAGAATCTGCCTGCCAAGGCAGGAGACATGGGTTCGAACCCTAGTCCGGGAAGATCCCACATGCGGCAGAGCAACTAAGCCCGTGCGCCACAACTACTGAGCCTACACTCTAGAGCCCATGAGCCACAGCTACTGAGCCCTCATGACACAACTATGGAAGACCACGTGTGTACAGCTCGTGCTCCGCAACAAGAGAAGCCAGCATGATGAGAAGCCTGCACACCGCAATGAAGAACAGCCCGCGCACCGCAACGAAGAGCAGCCCCCACTCGCCACAACTAGAGAAAGCCTGCACAACTAGAGAAAGCCTGCACGTAGCAACAAAGACCCAACACAGCCAAAAATAAAAATAAATAAATAAATTTATTTATTAAAAAAAATGATCAGACCCTTATATCTTATACAGAAATATTATATCTATACACCATGATCAAGTGGGGTTTATCCCAGGAATGCAAGGATTCTTCAATATATGCAAATCAGTCAGGGATACACCATATTAACAAACTGACGGAGAAAAACCATATGATCATCTCAATAGATGCAGAAAAATCTTTCGACAAAATTCAACACCCATTTATGATAAGAACCCTCCAGAAAGTAGGCATAGAGGGAAATTACCTCAACATAATAAAGGCCGTATATGACAAACCCACAGCCAACATCATTCTCAATGGTGAAAAGCTGAAACCATTTCCACTAAGATCAGGAACAAGACAAGGTTGTCCACTCTCACCACTATTATTCAACATACTTTTGGAAGTTTTAGCCACAGCAATCAGAGAAGAAAAAGAAATAAAAGCAATACAAATCAGTAAAGAAGAAGTTAAGCTGTCACTGCTTGCAGATGACATGATATTATACATAGAGAATCCTAAAGATGCTACCAGAAAACTCCTAGAACTAATCAATGAATTTGGTGAAGTAGCAGGATACAAAATTAATGCACAGAAATCTCTGGCATTCCTATACACTAATGATGAAAAATCTGAAAGAGAAATTAAG